TTTAGTGTAGAGAAACTAATTTGTATAATATAAATTGGCTTCATTGTGTGATGTTTTGTTTCTATTCAATAACAAGTTTAAAATAATTTAGCACCTATTTTTAGCTTGGTTTGCATTCATAGGGCTGCTTTAATCATTCTGTCTTTAGAAAGGCTCCATTATGTTAAGCTTATCCCTAGCTGCGGGTGAAATAATTCTGGATTAATGTCATCAAGGTGTGCTTTGAAGGTGGAAGGGTAGGCCTAACACTGATAGCAACTGTATTAATAGCTGAATATGTGATTTTTCTTAGAAAAATGGGAGTAATTTTCATTTTGTGATGCATTCACAAGAGACTGACCCTTTTTTTAGTGTGGGTAGGGTGCCCTAAGAAGTAAGGAGAAAGGATGCTGACAGATGAATAGGAATCAAACTGGCACTTTACACCAGAGATTTAATTCAATATAATACTATTTGATATGAAATTAGTTGCCTTAATACTAATATAATGATATGTTATTTTAAAAATAACCTTTTTGTGAGAGTACTGTAGAACATCCATGGCAAGTCTGACTTCCTCATTTTTTTCCTCCATTTGTCCTGACTTCTCAATGATTCTTTAACTGATTTCCCACTTTTTTCCCCAGAAGCATGTATTATTTCATCTCCCTTTTCCTCATTAATTACTCTAGAAATTACCCTAAGGCCCATATTGTGCATTTTATGCCTTGCTCACAATGACTAAAATCACCAGAGTTCATGTTACTATTTTATTTTTCCTCAGTAAAATACAGACAATGTTAGCTAAACAAGACAGAACATGAATTTTCTCTTTAACAAAGCTAGGACTATTCAGTAGCAGTACTACAGTATGAACCCTCCTATCAAAAATCAGGAGTTTTGAGTGCTTGGCTCACTTAAACCCTTACCAGCTCTTTAAGCAGAGGTATACATTTGCATGCCTAACCTTAAGCATGTAAAATTCAGTCAATAAACATACCAATAAGGCAATCTCAATCACTTTTAATAAACAGATGTGTATGGTAATTAGTAATACAATATATTGGAAGTTTTTTAATTGTGAAATGAAATCCTTTCATTCATGACTTCCAAAGCATCTGGTCCACCAGTCACATTTGGGAATGTATGTCTTCTCCTACTAGTCTACAGGGCTTTTGTAACTACGAGTGGCCTTCCGTAACTCTTCGTACTGACAAAAAATGCAATTACATTTATCCTCCTGGGGAGAAAAATTTTCTTAGGGGAATTATGCCGCTTATGTCATAGTTAGATGAAGTATTTTAACCCTTTTTAATGGTTTATAATAGTCATGATTAGTACAATACAATTTCAAGTGCAGTAAATACTCAGTATTTATACCTTTTCAAATTATAAATGTGTTCTTCCCCTTAGAAAATATAGTCTAGGTTCTTTACAAAACTTAGATATTAAATTAGACTTTTCTATAGTATGTGCAAATTCAGCTGTGTATATAAAGTTAAAACTGTTGATTTACAGCATTATGACTCTAATGTATAGTTTAATATTATTGATTATTTTAGATATAAGCCCAAAGCAGAATCCTAGTTTTAAACTCCTGGAGTTCAGTAATTGCTCATCATTTGCAATTTATACTTGTTCTAGACAGTGGATATGTTATTCAATAAAACAATCTTTTCTATATAATTTGCTTTGTAGTTGGAGTGTAACTGAGGAACAGTAGCAGAAATCATGTTTGGGGAAGGCAATGAGAGTACAAAAAGATGAAATTTGATAGCAATAAAATATTTAATAATAATATTGATGAAAAGTTTCAAATGCGAGTTCATAATAGGCCACAAAGTTCACAATAATTAAATATTATGCTTATGGTAAAGATTTTTCTCCTTAGTGTTTCGGAGGAGCCAGAGTGAATAAACTGCAAGACACTGAATGTAAAAAGGGAAAATGTGACTTACCTAAGGGCAGAGAATGCTGATATTAATTTTCTTATGAAAAGTTATCTGTAAAATCAGAAAAACAATTTTCTGACATCGTGCATGGGAATGTATAGCCTGTGCTTCAGTTTCTGCTGAATTCTTTACACCCAGGTTGTAACATCACTTTTGTATTTTTCTGTTAGTGTAGCAACACATTGTGGGATATATAACTAGAGTACTATTTTTTTTTTTTGTTGTTCCATATATCTTTCAAGGTAGCATAAACATGGCAACTCCCTAGTTTGGGGGAAAAAAAGACAATACAAAAATAAGACTTCTAGGACATAATAAGATAAAAAGTAAATTATTTTTACAGAAATTTCTAATGTTGCTTTTTCCCTTTACGATTAATTGCAACAGATCAAGGAAAGTAAAAAATTAAAGCTATGAATAAAAGCATCTGTTTAATTTTTAGTTTTTAACATAGTTTTTAACACTTCAGGCATCTCCATCATTTTGAATAACACAACAAATATAATTACGTTATTTGTGGTCTTTGTATTAGTGGAAGGAGCTTCGGTCAGATTTTTTTTTTTTTTGTTCTGCTTTTAACTGTAAGGGCCCATCTTATACTGTATGCTTTAAAAAGCTACAAAATCTTGCAAATTGCTAATTACAGAGTAAAAAGAAAAACAACTAACAGACATTTCTAGCAAACCTCCTAACACTTACTCAGCACTGATACCAACTGATTTCTGTGGTGATATAACAGTACTCTACTTCATATTAATGTTTCCACATAAAACACTCTTGTCAGAAAACCAAGACTGTTGTTTTAAATACAAATGGCAATTAAACACAGTCCTAGCACAGGAAGACTTCTGTTGTTCTGAATTAGAATGAAAATTAGATTTATTTTTTTTTTTTTTTTTTTAAGTGTATGCTTAATTTTCCTGTTTATCAGATGGATGTTGTCATGGTTTAAACCCAGCTGGCAACTAAGCACCACAGGGCCGCTCACTCACTCCTCCCAGCCTGGCCGGTGGGATGGGGAGGAGCATTGGAAAACAAAAAAGGTAAAACTCATGGGTTGAGATAAAGACAGTTTAATAGGACAGCAAGGGAAGATATAATAACAATATATACAAAATAAGTGATGCACAATACCATTGCTCACCACTGATGCCCAGCCAGTTCCTGAGCCACGGTCACCATCCCTTTGCCAGCTGCCCCCAGCTCATACACCGAGCGTGCCGTGATACGGCAGGGAATACCCCTTTGGCCAGCCTGGGGCAGCTGTCCTGGCCGTGCTGCCTTCTCCCAGTTTCTTGTGCACCTCCCCGCTGGCAGAGCACGGGGGGCTGAAAAGTCCTTGGCTCAGTATAAGTGCTACTTAGCAACAACTAAAACATCAGTGTATTATCAACATTATTCTCATATTAAATCCAAAACACGGCAGTATACCAGCTACCAGGAATAAAATTAATTGTATCCCAGCCAAAACCAGGACAGAAGTCTATAAAAGTAAAAACATGAATGGATTGTTCTTGAGAGGAAAATTCTCATTATGCAGACAAACATTTGAATAATTCTCCAGGATTTGATTATGTAAGTCCACTTGTATGTGCCAGGGAACCATGTTATTCAAGAAATACTCTTTTGACTCACACTACTTTTTAGATAACTACCTGAAAATCGTAAAGGAAGAGCATTTATGAAATATTAAGATATCATCATGAGAGTTGAAATATACTGCTGCAAGGTTCATTGCATATAAAAATTATATCAGGTTCTGCTGGCTTTAAACTTTTTACGATATTTCTTGAGGGCCTCACAACATTAATTTTAAATAAAAAAATTATTCAAAAAATAAGTGGAATAGCATGTCTTTGCAAATGCAAAATGAACGGCTAAAAACACAAAAGGAATGGAGTCATAAAAAAACCAAGTCCAGTTAAATTCCCTGGTGTAGTCAATTATGTTTATCAATGTACTGCTATAAGAATTTACGATTCTTCTTCATTTCAACCCAGAATTTCCTTTGCAGAAGAAATTATAAATGCTATGCCATCTCAGTGTTAATAATTATTTCCCATTCTTAATGATCAATGAAAAGTGCTTAAACAAAACTCTTCAGATACTGTAAAGTTTCCCATTCCTTTTGCCTCGGCCATTTCTTTTCCTTCAAATGTATCTCTTGTGAAGAAGTCATTGGGGAAAAGAAGTGGAATGGTAATGGGAAAAGTGATGTTTGTGTGTGTGAGAGTGCCTGTGAGGAGCACAAAACTGATGAGCTTGTGAATCAGAGGAGTGGAAGTAAGAGAAACTGAAATTCTTCTGAAGCTCAACTTGCCCTTTCATTATGATTCACGGTCACAAGCGTTATGTCTTCTTTCAGTTGGTAGAGGACTTAAATGATATTTCTTATATGGTGGACTAGTCTTTATGTGACCTTTAGCTATCATCACGTTCTTGAGAAAGACACCAGCATTGCTTCTCCTTTAGCATCGCTGTGTCAGAGATGAATCGTAGCATTCCTCATCCTTCCTTTGCACTAATAAGTACAAAGTTTGTTCGTTTCTGATCTTCACTTAACTCAGGACTGTAAAACTGGGCAGAGAAAATGCAAGCTGTCATCATTAGGAAAACGTCAGGTTGACAGGTAAAATCAGTTCTTTCTAGTTTGGAAGTAAGGTGGAATTGTTGCCCCTTAGGTGGGGTTAAAGAGGTTGCTTACGCTGTGGGTGAAGGTCGCACGTTCAATTTCAAACACAAAAAGATTGATCCTAAGTCCTTATAAATCAGTGATTTAAAAAAAATTTTTCTGCCTTAGTGGCCCTTGTGTCATAACTTGACATAACTTTACAAAATCTGATCTATTTTTTAAGCACTTTAAGTAACTGTATAAACCTTCCTTCCTCTTTTAACATAACACATCGGGCAGATTTGGGACAGGCAATATGTCTTTCTTTAAATCATAAAATAACTTACTAATTTGCTTTATAGAAGCCTTATTCTGATATCTATGTGGAATAGATCCCACAGCTGCTTACTTCATAAGTAGCTGGTAACTGTGAAACCACTTATGTGAGATACCCCGTAATGGCACAGCCTGGCCCTAAATCTCGGTGTACGCTGCTGGAGCTGTTTGTTGAGGCGGTTATTGTCACCGTAACTGCACCACGTATTTCACTGAGCAGCACAGCAGACGGCATGGTGGCCTATGTAAACGGTTTACACAGAGGTGATACAGTAGTCTGGGTTTGGATGCTGTATTACCATAAATAGCATTTTTTTGCTACTGACATTCTGTATGAGCCTTTGGATATGTAATTGTGAGTGACACTTAACGGAGCTTTTAGAGTACCTACTTTTCAAGAACGCTTTGATTAAATTAGTGCCCATTTTATTATTTGTTACTTATGCCAAAGATATTTGTAAAAGTGTTTATTCAGTAAATTTTCTTAAATCATGGAAAGCCTTTCCTGCTCACAGTTTTGTTCAGTATTGGTTTTTATTAAAACACTCCATGAACTGTCACGCCTATGTTTCGATATATTTGTGGAACATTGTATGCTAGGTATTAACTGATTAATCCTCCTGCTTGAAGATTATGAAGTACTCAAATCTGTGTATAATTCAACAAATCCAGATTAAAAAGCTTTTAAGCATTGAGAATTGTGAATCTCTTGGGGACTTGAACAATTATTTCATTTTTTTGCCAAGGAAACCAAGCCATTAAGAATCATCATGTACTTAAAGTGTTCTGAACCCAGAGGGCTTTACTGACACTATTGCCTGTTTCTTATTTGCTTGATCATTTATTTCTTTTCAGCTAGCTCCTTAGAAGCTGATTCTGGAGAGCGGAAAAAAAAAGAGCGGTTCCCACGCCAATCATACTCCTTAGCACACGAGTAGTATACAGTCACTTGTGTGGGCAGGCACCCAGACATTTGCACAGATACCTAAAGTGTATCTTTCATTTGATTTCAACCCTTCCCTTCTCGTATTTAAAAAAAAAAAAATCTGTTAGAATTGTTTAATAATGTAGTTAATGAACTTCACCACTTATTTGGAGAATGGCAGCTGAAAAATGAATTGTAAAAATGAAGAACATATGCTGGTATATTACAAATATTTTTTGCCTAATCCAGAAATAAGCATTTTCTGTTTTGAGAGATGAATTATGAACTATGTTAATTCTGATTTGTAAGGCCTCAAAAAGGTGTGTAGCTTTTAAAATTCAACTGATACTAATTTATCTATTTTGGTATATAACTTTCATGCAAATCAGATTCTTGTTACCCAAATACTGACTGGTCCATATTTTTTTAATCATTCTATGTCTATAATTCAATATAGAGTTGAAAATTTATTCTTTCCCTCTCTTCACTCTCCATTTTAGAGGAGGATTTTTTTTTTAAGGAATATCTTCAAAATGGCTTAAAGTGAGAACTGCATTTTATACCAGTGGGCCTGGGCCACAATTAAGTGATGACTTGGAATAACAAGCTGATGTCTTTTAGGCATCCACATACAAACCCAAGTCTGTTAGCAATTGAAGTGTCAAGTTCTAGTAATTAACATGGTGCATGTTTTCAGCTCCTATTTAAATTAGATGTGCCTGGAAGTCCTTGCTATTGAAAGGTTCCAAAGGAAGGAAGAGGAGAGTTTGATCATTAATCAGTGTTTTGTCCTAGTTGGTATATCATTCGTACATCTGAAAAGCACTGAAAATGTTTGGGATCATACAAACATACTAAAGAATTTTTTTTAAGACAGTCACTTTTCTTTTGGCTGTTTGTTGCCATAACAGTCTTTCTTGCAAAATGTGAGATTGTTATTTCTATTTATTGTCCCTGGAGACATGGAATGATGTATGGTTGTCTAGAAGTAGGCTGAACAGACTTGGATATTCAATCCTCTGTTCTTTTTGCTAAGCTCCCTGCATTTAATTGTAACAGGTAAATCACCTAAGTCAGGAACTCGAGCTAATTTGGAAATCTGCAGTCAAAAAGAAGAGACAGGTGCCCCTAAAGTATGACTTGTCCCAGAACCCACAGAGATGTGGGTCACAGTTCTGAGATGTTCCTCGTCATGGATGCGGCAAGATAATATTGAGTGATCATGAAATCCTACATGAAATAATTGTTAATAAGACTGTGAGACAGAAAGTAAACATAACAGAAGGAGAAAAAAGATTATTCAAAGCTTCTGCTTTTTACAACTTTGTGCTGCTTTTAACTCACATAGGAATATGATACTTGGATGAGTGTTTCTTTAATTCTCTTCTGTTTGTTTTTTTGTGATAGTAATAGTTAAAGATTGTTCATTTCCTACATCAACAGGAATTCTAATGGTTGCACCAAGGAGAAAATTTGCAAAGAACAATACCCTTTGAATCACTTGAGGATAATTAGCCTTTTTTTTTATTCTCTTTTTGAGGCTTTTTTCCCCACTGCTCAGTGTTGTTTTTCTTATACTTAGTCCGTAGGCGCCATTATATGTAGATTTTTAGGCTTTAAACTAAAAAGATTTTTAGCATCAAGGGAGGAAAGGACTTTTTAGGGTACATCTAATAGTGGGTTAAGATATGTATTTTTTGTGAAATTTTATACTTAAATCAGTATTGAAACTGCCCTTCTGTTTGCAGATTCTCAAATGAAAAATAATAATTTTGTCATTTCACCAGTCAGGTAGTGATGCCTGACCCTAAGCATATTACTGTTTGCTTATTAATCAACAAAATATATTTACTTCAGCAGCAGAAAGCAGCAGAAATTACATACTGAAATGTTAATTACTCACTTAGGAGACAGAAAACCTATTGGAACTTCTTTTTCAAACCATTGTGCACAGTTTTTTGGCACACATATACAGGCTATATTTTCCATATTTTCACTTCATGAATTCTTTTATCTTTTTCCAGTTGATCTGTTCTTACATTTTTTCCAAGACTCCAGAAGATTTGTAAATGGAGTTTAAATATGCTTTTAAAAAGCTAAACTTTTCTTGAAGATTTAGGTTCTTCCTAGCTCCATTTTTTCCATGGTAATTGTATAAAGAATTTAGGGACTGACTCAGTCCAGTGGTGCTGACTTGCTTATACAATATATTCTCTACCAGAACGCTCCTGTGGATGACAATACCAGTGTGTGAGAGGATTTAAAGCAGAAAGTCCAGTACTAACAGAGGAATGCTCTCATTACAGGTATTAACCAGTTCCTGGGAGGAGTATAGTCATTTATATCATACAAACAGGGCAGCAAATAATAAAACTCATTTTTCTTAAACAGTTAAATTGAATTCAATTAAATTGAATTCATAATGAAGGTTATTGTTGTGGCTGAGTGAAAGTCCATTCCAATTCAGAATGCAAAGTCAGGATGAGAAGAAACACTGAAATATAGAAATATTCACTAAAATTTGACCATATAAGGTAAAGTTTTCTAGTTTATTAATTTTATTTCTTTAAGAAAAATATGATGTCTTTGTTAAGTACCTGAACTACATCCAACCTTTTCTCTTCAGGCCCTGCATTCTCATGAGGGAACCATTCAGTGCTGTGATTGGATTAATACAAATTGGATAGGAAAATTGGGCTGGGATAGGAGCAATTGAATTTGGAAAGTTTATGAGAGCTGCTAGTTCAGGGTGAATAATAAAATAAAGACAGCAGTTTTGCAATTTTGAAAAGCTCTGTGCTATGTAATAGACTATAATTTAATTCTCAGAGACTATTTTATTAGATTTTTTCCCAACTAAAATGACAATTCCTATTGTTCCTTATCATATGTCTCATTACTGCTGCAAGTATTATCCTCTTTATATGATTATAGTGATTCATACTTCACTCTCTTGGTTTGTATACAGTTGCAAGTAAATAATGGTAGCAATTTGATGCTTCTGAATAGAAGACCAACAGGTTCTTTGTTTTTTTTTTTTTAAACAGGAATGTATATTTTAGTGAAGGAGTGATGATAAGCCTTACACTGAGATCAGTCAACAGATGCATAACTCTGATAAAATGTAAATTCTCATCATTGGTCAAAGTAATAAAGCTGAAGAAATGCCTGTGCCGAACAATAAACCCGTGTGAAGTTCATCGTCATTCGCACTCATTATCCTTTATAGATACTTTTGGAAAATATGTGGTTATCATTCATATATTTGAATGTATAACTGTTGTAAGAATGTACCTAACAAACAAAATAATTTCTTTGTAAGGGAAGCTGGTTCTGTGAGAGAAGGAACAATTTTCATGCTATGCGGAGTACTTCAAAACCCAGTGAAAGCCAAAGAGAGTTGGGAGAGTGAGGTTTTGGTTCACCCCGGTTGGGCAGAAAAGAGCAATCAGCTCCAGTTCACGGTGGTTTAAGGAATATAAAAACAGGGGAGTAATGACTTACAGGAAAGAAATGTGGCATTATCAGTGAAACTGTATCATGAATAGAGACCTGGTTCTTATTCTTGCTCATTCTGAGATGTGTGTAGCTGTCACATTCATCAGGGTGGCACTGTCCAAAAAAGAGAAGTTGTCTTAGTGTTGATTGCCTGGTTGTTTTTTAGTTCATAATTTTTAATTCTCACCTGGGGGAAGAAATGAGGGGGAGGGAGGAGTGAAGGAAGAGAGCAGGGTATGTCTGAAATGGCATTGTGCTGAATCAACCAGTCTATAACTGCAAGTACAGAAAAGCACAAATGCTCACATAACTGTGAAGTGAACAGAAGCTTAGTTTTTCATGGATTTTTCCAGTTCAAGTAATTTCATTAAGAATTTTTACATTTTCTCCCACTTTTAAAATTAGGTGCACTCAATCAGGGATTCAGCTTAGGTAAAGGTAGATATAATTAATGGACAATATGGGTGATCTACCCATTCTGCCAAAGGGCAGCATTAACATCTGATCCTTACTAGAGAAGATTAGTTAAGGAATTCAACGAGTCCTGCATTTTGGCTTCTGGATTTTACTCATGGATCAGAGCACTAGTTTAGATTCTGCTCAGAAAGTATACTTAAACTTTCAGAAAATGGATTAAAGGATATTGGATATTACTTTTTACCTGCCTTAGGGTATCTCCAGAACTTTGGTTTAATTATTGCATATCCACATTAATTAATACATTGTGTGGTACTTCAATAACATTTTTTATTTATTAGCATTTCTACCGCTTGAATTGTCAATTTTAAACTGATTATTAAAACCCTCCAAAAAGCTGATGACTCATATTTTTACAGTCAATCTGAACTACTTTCCAAGGCAGGGATATAACAAGGTACTTAGTTATCATTTATTGCATTATATGAAGACCAAGACTCTGTTGTTCTTTGTATCTGCCAACATACAGTGAAAGGCTTACCTTTTAACGTTCAAAACAGCACCTATGGTGAGATTTAAGAAGTGGAAATAAAACGGTAGATGATGGTTATAGTGAGAGAAGCAAGAGTTTAAGAATCAAAATACGTAGTCTCAAGACACTCTTTGAGATGTAAATAATAATTGCATTAAAGATTACATTAATCTGTCACTAATTCTATTATTTTAATTTGTTGGATTAATTTAATTCAGCTTCATTTCTTATGAAGAGCCTTCCAGTAACATCTCAGCTTGATTTTGTATACCTGAGAAAGGAAATGTCTCAGGAAGGCAGAGTCAAAACTTGTCATACTCAGTTAGTGTTCTGTTCAGTGGAGCACAACATGGTAGCTAGTAGATCTTCAATTTTTGAGATTGTCGCTATTTATTTTTATTATTGCCATTACTATATTTACTCTTTGAATGGGTAATGCATTCTGAATTTGTGTCTTAACTTTATTCTTGTGCTTTACTTATATTACTTTCGTGTTTAAGAGATTGAAAGTTTATGAAAATAAAAAGTTGAAAAAGTTATGTCAAAGCCCAAGGTAGTTTTCCTTATTTTTATAAAAATATTTTATCATATCAATATTTTATTAAAATATTTTATCAAATATGATTTTATCATAGCAATTATTTTATCACAGGTTTTAGTGTAGCTTAAATGTTAAAACAAATATGAATGATTTTGATTAACAGGGGAAATAAATGTCAATAATAATAGACTCTAGTACTGAAATAATATCTGTCAGAGACTTGGGGATCATCCTTTAATATTTATGTAAAGTAGGTTAAATGAATGTGAAAACCACGCATTGGTAAGAATGAGGTTTCTTCTGACTTCCTCCAAGTGGAAGTAATCTTTAAGAGCTTGTCCAAAAATGGTTACAGATGTTTTAAATGAGATTTCATTATTTTAGCAGGTTTGATTCAAGTTTCTGTTACTTTTTATTTGCATTTTCACTTCCTATCTGCTGCTTTTATTCAGACCTAAGGTGTAGTAATTCCATGATGTCTGTGTTTACGGCACTGCAACATGTTGCTGTAGAAATTATTACAAAGTCATAAATGTAAGACCTACTTCTGAGTGATGTTTTGGTCTCTTTGCTTCTCCTTATTTCTAAATTTATCTCATTATACAGCTACTACAGATCTTCAGGATTATTCAGTATATAATTATGAAAATAGGAGTGCCAAAAGTGCAAGTAACCTTCTTCAGATGTTTTAACAAGGGACTGGAATGATCAATAGGAATTTGGTATCTCTTTTCTATACGAATCCTGATGTTAGAAATAGCTATTTTAATATATTCAGCCCAAATGTCTTTTGATTTGTAGCAGTAACATTACTTTATCATGTAAGTGCTTTTCATCTGACTACTTCTAAGCTTTCTTTCCCCAAAATGTTAATTAAGTTAGTGTTCTGATGTACAATAGGTTAATACAATTTTTGTTTTACAAATGAAGAAACTATATCTAAAAAGGTCACATCTCATGTCAGTGACAGATGGAGGTATACAGTACTGTTCTGCTTTAGCCACTGGGAAAAAATAAATCTTTCTTCTATCTGTGCATTTGCAACTGTTACCATAATCAGACATAAATGCCCAGAAGTTAAGCTTTTTATTACAAAAACACATATTTCCATCAGATGAAGGAGGGGAGGAGGGAAAGAAAACTCT